AGATCTGGAGGCTGAGGCAAGAGGATGGCCAGTCCAAAGCCAGCCTCAGTAACTTTAGTGAGACCCTGTCTCAAAATTTAAAAAAAAAAAAAAAATAGAAAAGGCTGGGGATTATGCTCAGTGGTTAAGCACTCCAATACTAAAAAATAAAAAAATAAAATTAAAAAGTTAAATTTTATTTTTAAAAAAAGAAAAGTAGAATGTATAATTTCTAAACCAGGAGAGGATATGCAGGAAATAAAAACTCTCTAAATCTAAAGGAAGAAAGGGAAGGAGAAACACACACACACACACACACAGAGCAGTTTCTTTTTTTCTTTTTTTAATTTTTTTTTAGTAGTAGATGGACACAATACCTTTATTTGATTTATTTACTTTTTATGTGATGCTGAGGATTGAAACCAGTGCCTCCTCCGTGCGAGGCAAGTGCTCTACCACTGAGCTACAGTCCCAGCCCCAAGAGCACTCTCAATCCTCAGTCATAATGCTGGTCTCATCAGATCCAAAGAACATGCAGATGGCTCCCAATTTGTGATGGTTCAACTTATGATTTTTCAACTTTGCAATGGGGCAAAAGCAATCCACATCCAGCAGAAGCATGCTTTGAATTCTGATTTCTTCTCCAGACTAGTGATATGCAGTAGGGCCCTCTCTCACCACGCTGGGCTGCGGCACTGAGCCACTGAGCCTGGGGGAACAACCGAGCCTCTGCCGTGTGCCCACACGACTGAGCTAAGAGGGTCAGGAGGTGGGGTGGATTCAATGCACTTTTATTATGGGATTTTCACCTTCACGATGGCTTTATCAGGGTGTAAACTCATCTGGAGTCAGAAGCACCTGCATCCTACCATCCGTGTCACCACACCTAACTTAGTTAAGAGAAACGCTAACAAAAGGCTGACTGAGCCCCTCCCAGGGCAGGTGGAAAGAAGTGGGGAGCAGGGAGGAGATACCCTGTGACCTCAGAGACTTGAGCCAATGTCCTCCCCTCCCCCATTTCCAGGGCTGAGGGGACCAAGGCCCCCTGATGTCTCTGTCCCCACACTCTGTGCCCTCTAGGACTCCATTCTTCTGAGCTATAGTTCACTGGGATATCATTTGAGTGTCAACAAGGTGTCCACTCTCCTCTGCCATCTGTCCTGCAGATGGATGTCCCTTGCTTCCACAGCCCTGCGGGGAGCAGCTATTGCCCTGTCCTATTTGTTCCCTCGCCCTAGCAGAGACTCAGCCCCAACTGCTCTCCAGAGGCCCCTGACTCTGCTCTGTCCGCCCCTGCAGGGGCCAAGTTCCCCATCAAGTGGACAGCTCCTGAGGCCATCAACTTCGGCTCCTTCACCATCAAGTCGGACGTCTGGTCCTTTGGAATCCTACTGATGGAAATTGTCACCTATGGCCGGATCCCTTACCCAGGTAGGGAAGGGGGCATTGGCTTGGGACCTGGCCAGGCACCGGGTCCATCTCACTGGCATATTCATTCCCAGTCCTTGATCCTTACCCTCCGCCTTCCCTTGCCTTTCCCATCTCTGCTAAAGCACCACCATCTGCCCAATTTCCTAAGCTGGCAGTCTAGGGGCTTCCTCGGCCCTCTCCTCTCTCACCCCTTATCATATCCAAGCAGTCACAGGGTCCTGGCTATTCAATCAGAAACACATCCCACGTCTGCCCACCTCTAACAGCCTTACCTGCTCCCAGGCCATGACACCTTGCTCACCACCGTGGCCTCCCAATCTGTCCTGCTGTTTCTCCCCTCTCTCGCTTATAGGCCGTTCTTCAACTGCGACCAAAAAGATTTCTCTAAACTGTAAATCAGATCTCGTGCCTTCTCCATCCCTAATTCTTTTATTCACCATTATAATTAATACAAACCCTCCTAACGCCTCACCTGGCCATTAGGCACCACATGATCTGGCCTCTGCCGCCCTCTCCAGCTTCCTGCTGTCCCTCCCCCCAGTCATCTAAAGTATAGCATGTCTCCCCTGTGATTTCCTTTCATAATATTCTATGCTATATTCATCCATGGCTTCCATCCTAATTGAAAACCAGGTATTTGCTTAAAATTTTCTCCATCAGATTCTAAGACCATAAGGCCAGAAATCGTGGCTGTATTCCTTTTTAAATATATATATACATATATATATATAATTTTTTTAGTTATAGTTGGACACAATACCTTTATTCCATTCATTTATTTTTATGTGGTGCTGAGGATCGAACCCAGGGCCCTGCACATGCTAGGCAAGTGCTCTACCGCTAAGCCACAATCCCAGCCCCTGGCTGTATTCCTTACCAGTGACCCCAGTGCCCACCTCTGTGCTTGACCTATAGTGGGCTTAGTAATGACTTGTCAAATGGATCAATATATCCCCCTGCCTAAGGAAAGTGCCCAACACTCGGTATACAAAGATGTATACCAAGTAGATTGCATGTAGATTGAATGTAGATGCATGTAGATTGCCTGGGACTCAGGGAATACTTGGGATGTCTGTAACTAGAACACTGGGGAGGATCAAGATGGATATAAAGAGTCCCTGACTTTTCACACATACAGCACTGAATTTAAATCCTATCCCCATCAACTAAGACAAACTAATGGAGTGATGCTACTTTTCAAAAGAAGAAAAGATAACTTGCCGATGGAGAGGTCAGGGAAGGAGAATAGAGAATGATTATCCTGGCTTTAATGGAACAGTAGAAATTCAAGAGTTGTTTTAGCCTTGTTAAATTGGAGGTGACATATAGACATTCAAGTAAAGATGTCTAAGGGAGCCCTCGAATCCATGAGTTTAAAGTTCAAGATTGAGAGTATATTGGGGCTGGGGATGTGGCTCAAGCGGTAGCGCACTCGCCTGGCATGCGTGCGGCCCGGGTTCGATCCTCAGCACCACATACAAACGAAGATGTTGTGTCCGCCAAGAA